GAAGCGTTAGCGCTATTTTGTGCCCAAGAGTCTCTGTGGACAGTATATAGTGAATTTTTGATTGCGTTTGAATTTTTTGTTGTATTGATTTTCATTGTTGTTTGTTAATTTTTTTTGTTTTTTATGGATTTTTGTTGAGTTTTTGAGTTTTGTTGTTTTTTGTTTCATTTTGCAAAATCAAAAATGTCTAAATTTATTAGACTGAGATTGAGCCCTGTTGTTTTATGCCAAGTACTTACTGCTTGGTAATTTGTAATTGGAAAAAGTAATTCTCCTCGCTTCTGGTAAACTAAGTCAGAAGAAGGTGTAGGAGAAGATTGCCCAAATCCTACAAAGCAAAGGACATCTGAAGCACTGGGCCACAATGCTTCTCGAAATTTATTGGTATGAAGTGAACTTTAAAATCCATTAAAGATTACAATGAGAAGTCAGGAAATAACACCCGTGCATGGCCATATTTGGATTTAAGTTCAAAGGTACTGTTGTACTGTCATTTTATTTATTTTGTATCCATTTATTAGCTTATGGATAGTGTGTTGGGCGAAAAGCCTTCCATGCAGCCTGTGGGCACGCTATCCTCCACGGGCACTTGTAGGGGCCTTGCTTTAAGCCGCGCCAGCCTGTCACCAGCCTCTCCAAAACTGCCTTCAGTAACTCCCTCAAGTTGGGCCGACCTGTCCCCAGCCTCCTTTTCCAAATCCGCACCTTCGGCATCTACTTCAAGAACAAGTTCAATATCGGAAGAAACTCCATCAAGTACCTACTATTTGGAATCATTTTATTTCGTCACATTTGATTTTGAGGAAGAAAATCTTTATTTCTTTTCAAGAAAAAGAAAACCTACTTCAGATATTGCCGAAGCCATATTAGAAAGCAAGCGTTTGGGAGAAGAAAACAAGGAGAGAAGGCACAGGGAGAGAATGGAGGGAAAAACAGGGTTCCAAAAAGAAATGCTGAGTATGCTAGGGAATCTAATCGACAAAATATGATAAAAATTATTTTATTTAAAAAAAAAATCAATTGATACATAAAAAAAAAGTTGTGCTTTATTTTATTCACGCAGCCCTCATTAAAAGCCTTTGACAGATTAAGTTCCTTTTGGCTATCTGAGCATCCTGCTGCACATTTCGAGGAACTTGTATCGCATCAAGCTGCAAACTTTGAGGAACACCTTCATTTACAGCAATCTGCAGGTCGTCACCCCTGAGTAAACAAATATTGTGTAATATGGGCAGGGATTAAATGAACTCTGCGCATTGGCAGTACAGTCAAAAGGCTGCGAAACCGTCCTTTTAATAAAGCAAAACTTCTCTCGATGAATATCTGAGCTGAAGCATGGCAGAAATTATAATTTCTCTGTTGGTCGTTTAGATGGCCATTGTCACGATAAGGCACCAATAAATTCTCATGTAATTTGTAAGCAGAGTTGCCAATTATGTGACAATCGTCAGGAAATTTTTTTACATCCCCAAATAGTTATTCACTTCAGACAAACGAAAGACACGTTGATCATGAACAGAACCAACCCGGCCTGCAAAGCAATGGACAAAGCGACCAGAATAGTCACAAACAACCTGCAAAGTAGAACAGTGTTTCAAGGATATAAGTCAACTACCTATGGCAAATTACCTGAAGAATTACTGAGTAACATTCTTTCCAATTAACATATGATTCTGAATTTGCTGATGGACCAGGGATATTAATATGGGTCCCATCGACTGCTCCTATGACTTTGGGAAAGCCAATCACTGCTTCAAATGCAGCCGATATTTGTTGAACTCTATCTCCATTTGGCCACCTAATAAAAATCGGTGACAGCTCGTTTATTGCTCTTGTGACATGTCTTGTTACATGCTTTGCAGTACTTCTTCCAACATTGAACCTTTCACATAATGACCTAATACAGAAGAAGGTAAACAGAGGTCATGTACAAAGGTAAAACACTCACCTCAATGAATCAGGCGTGGCCAATCTCCAGATGGCAATTAAAAACTGTTTTTCTGGTGAAATCTTTGCAGTTCCTGGAACCTGCCTTTTAAGCCCTGGCGCAATAATGGAAAGCACATAATCAAAAGTTTCTCGACTCATACTGGAATTATTAACAAAATGATTAGATAAAGTGATTTATAAAGAGATATTATAAGAAAAATATATTATTTCATAGTAAATTTATTATCAGATAAGGTCCTCACCTAAAGTGAGACTTGAATTCTTGGTCAATGAATGCAGGTAACACATGTTCTACATAATTTTCAAGTCTTGAGACCTTTCTCCTATTATAAAGTTCATCGAGCAGTTCTAATGCTTGTCATTCTTCATCTTCGCTACTTTCTGACGATAAAGATGAATCAATTACCTCACTTATTATTCGCAGACCGGCCGCCACAACACCTAAAACATTGCGCCTCTGGACTCTATCCTCGGCCATTTTTTAGGTTAGGAAAACAAATAAAAATAAATAAACAAACAAACGACTACACAACCACCGAACCACCAAAGCTACGGCTGTTCATGGAGATTGACAGCGAAAACACTCTGAAACCTCCCCGAACAGGTCTAATAGCGTATGCATAGCGCGATAGCGTGCTTCCCGAACACCCTATACATGTGAACCCAAACAGTGTTGCCAGCATTAATTTAATAATTACTTCTAATTTCGGTAGGTTAAATTGCTTCTGTGACTCGTACCTATGCCTATGCTTAAATATTTCATAACTATTGATTCAGAACTAAAACCTTATACATTTTCACAATATATTTTCTCCATACTTAACACTTTTGAAGTTTAACAAAAACGGATCTTATTAACACAAACCCCTTTCAACAATGACCCATAAGTATATCTTTAACATTAAAATTCTCAGAAATTAAGTATGTACTTAGGGTATTTTTCTCAACTGTGATCGGTTTGCATATTTTATTGTCTATTTTGCCAAAACGTTCCGACTACTTATAATATTAAATTCAATAACTGAGTTTCATTTGTTCAGTGCTCTTACTGTATTGTGTTCTGACAAGTTATTTTTTCTAAAAGCAAATTAATTGAGTTATGTCGCCTAAAAAACTTGGAAAAGGTCGTGTTTTACACAGTCAAAGCCGTGAAATTGTGAGTCATGTGAGTGAATTTATGAAAAAAGAAGCTAAAGAAGAGCTTTCCGCGCCACCACAGGTGTTTATGTAGAAATTATTTCAGCTATTATATTATTATATCCTTGTTTATTGTTTATATTTCTCTAACAGTTATTATGCTTTCAAGTTGAACGAAGATGTCAATAAAGAAAGAGTCTGAAAATCGAATTGAAAGAAGATTATTTTTGTACAAAGGACGTATTAGTTACACATTTACAACAAATTTTTATCAACTTTTTAATAGGCAAATCAATCAATTTCTAATTATATGTTTATTTCAAGACTTGGATTCCGAATTTACAACTACTTGCCAATGCAAAAATCACATAAATGTTTCCGAAATTTTTTCACGAACACAATTCATCAGAGGCATTAACGACACATCAGTGACACTCAAATTTTATGCTAGTGTTCATCGAAAACAAAGCACAAACATTTGAAGTAGACTCCGGTGCAGGAGTTACTCTCATTCCACAATCAAAATTCAAAGAATTAAACTTAAATATCCAATTAGAGAAATCTGGTATAGCATTCCGATCTTATACGAAAAATGTTTTTTATCCTATTGGAAAAGCGAAAGTTTCTGTTCGGTACTTGGATAAAACATCAACTGAAGAGTTTTACGTCGTGTCAGATAATTTCGAGCCACTAATGGGACGTATATGGATAAGACATTTAGATATGGGCCTTCAAAAAATCGAGAATACAAACCAATAGAAGTAGAGTTTGTTCAAAAATACCCAAACACACACGAATTGGATTAGTACCAAATTTGAAAGTATGTTTACAACTACGTGAAAACGTCAAGCTTGTTTATTTCAAGATGACGATATCTTCCAGCATTTAACTGAGCATACACAACATTATTCCCAGTTCAAAAATCAAGTTGACCCTGGTATCACCAATTCGGAAAGTCGTTGTTTTATTGCTATTCTTATTTCGAGTGGCGACAATAATTTGCCTAGCAAAAAATTGTACTGGGACATGAACCATGATGTCCATAACAATATGGTGGCAAATGCTATGAGGAGAAATAGATTTCTTCAAATTCAAAAATTTATTCATATAGCAGACAACACACAAATAAATGCAATGGACAAAGCCTGGAAGATAAGACCAATAATGGACAAATTTAAACAAAAATGCTTGAAACACTTTCAGCCAGTCAAAAACTTATCATTTGACGAGTCAATGGTAAAATATTACGGGCGCCACGGATGCAAGCAGTTCATCTGTGGCAAACCCATTCGTTTTGGCTACAAAATGTGGAGCCTTGACACAAATGATGGTTATCTCGTAAATTTTGACCTATACCAGGGAAAAGATCCTCGTGGTGATGCAGACTTTGAAAAATTGTTTGGAAAATGTTCATCTCCTATGGTGCTCATGCTTCAGGAGCTACATAAACAAGATCTGCCATACATTATTCATATAGGTAATTTGTTCATTGGTCTAAATTTGCTTTCCTATCTAAAATATCTCGGTTTTGGTGGAGAAAGTACAATTTGAGAGAATCGAATACCGAGGTCAAGTCCACTAACGTGTAAAAAACAATTTCAAAAGAAACCTCGTGGGGATATCGAATATTTTTTGAAAAAGAATGATGGTATTTTACTGGTTAGGTGGATGGACAATTCAGTCATCACAATTGCCTCTACATATGACAGAGTTATTCCATTATCATCTGTAAAGTACGAAAGCGCCGAACGGACATGCTACGAAAAAAAATTATAATTGCAACTTATAACTTGTAACGTAAGCAAATGAACAAGCGCCCACTGAATCCGCGGATTCAGTGGACGCTTGTCCATTTGTTTACATACATATCAAAAACTGCTGGCCGGTCTGTGCGGATTCAGTGGGCGCGCTGCTTAAAGATTATTGCTAGTTTTAATATTTGTGTTTTGTTTTTGCCAGATTATTTAGTTTAGTTATGGATAAACCTGGTCCGTCATCTAGATTTCTGGTAAGTACAATAGGTAAATGGTAAATCACGATTCGACTGAAGGAAGTGGCCGTGTCCTCGCGATTTTGTCAATGTTTATTTATTTTTTAATATCATATGTGTTTTTTTTTAAGGAAAAAATATCAATCAGGGCCAGGATTACCCAGCACCTTAACTCTTAATTCTTTATTCTTAATTCTTAGTGCTTAATACGTAATTCGTAAAATTTAACAATTCCTTATGCAGTTTTACCCAACTTCTTAATTCATAATTTTTAATCTGGCTTCTCTGCTTGTTTACATTTGGTTATGGGGTTCTAGTCTAAGATTCTAAAGTTTTTTTGTAGTGTAGTGGAATGCAAAGCAAAAGACCGCTTTCAACTTGTGTTTTGTGATTTCAGAAATTCATATTTTGTCTGTAATCGACTTTCTATTTTAATAAACAGCTGATCAGGACCGAGAGCGCAAGCGCATTCTTTAATCTTATAAATGGGGTTAAGTTCTTTAAAATTCTTATACATGGGGTTTGGCTCTGCCGAATGTGACAAATCACGTTCAATCAAGTTTTCTATTTCCCCATTCCGAACGAAGTAGGCTCGTCGCGAATATGCAAGACACGCTGGTCCAGTAGTTATGGCATGTGCATATGGCGCAGGTGGCCCGGAATAGATTGTCTCCGGTGGCAATTTTTTTAATATATTTTTTTGTTATCCATTGCATTAACTGCTATTTATTATATAGGATGAAGACAATTCCTTGGAACAGTTCCTTAGAAATCGCGGTATATCGGAGGATACCATACAATATTTTATAGACCAAAACGTAAGTGTGTCTTTTTTTAATTTTGTTATTTTTTCAGTTGAAGTGTCCTCAAATATCTTTTTCTACGACTGACAATAAAAGCGGATATTGTATGTTCAATAGTGGTTTCGAAACGTAGGACATTGTGCTATACACATTTTCATTGTGCTTCAATCACCATGGTGATTCAACTACAAAGCTCCCATTGTGCACGGGTATTTTCTGAAAGAAGTGGCGTTGACCGGTGCCGCGTCAACGCGTCAGATATATTAAGTTTGAATAGGAAATAAACTGCTGGACAGTTGCTTTCGAGCAAGGAAAATTTCGCCTAACTTTCAAGATCGATATTTTTGGAACCAGAACAAATATTGTCCACCGGTTTTCACGGACCGACAGATTGACTTTTTGTGAACAAAAATTTGTATTGAATTTTTTTTTAACTGTCAATATTTTTTTATATACAGGGTGTTTAAGAAGTCAATGATTATTCTCCCAATTTTGCATGTGTGTAACTTTCCGGGAATTTTTTTAAAATTTTATTTCTATGCGCTGTTTTAATCAATGATCTTCTGCAAAAAATGTAATTTCTCAAAATTTTTATACCTGCCATAGTTTTGAAAACATCGATTTTTTTCCATAACGTCCATTTTTTTCAACTTTTAAGAACCTAAACCATCCTGTACATTACATCTAGCAGCTTTTGCTGCTGTTTGATATACCCTACGATATCTTGGTTTATTTCCAATGAAAAAAAAATACTAAAATAATGTTGTGTCCAGTGGCGTACTAATAATCGACTATTTTCGGCAGAGGATATTTTTCACAAAGAGTCAATCTGTCGACCCGTGAAAACCGGAGGTCGATAGTTGGTCCGGTTCCAAAAATATCGAGCTTGAAAGTTAGGCGAAATTTCCCTTGCTCGAAAGCAACTGTCCAGCAGTTTATATTACTAATCCCATTTTATATAATAGTAGCAGTCGTAGAAAAAATATTGTGTAAAACTCGCATGGAATGACCATTTCCTACTCATATGATATGCAGCACTCGCCTGCGGCTCGTGCCGCAAACGTCATACTCGTAGGAAATGCATGCCATGCTCGTTGTACGCTATTGATATTAAATCACAAGCGGCACAAGCAGCGTGCCTTGGATGCAAAAAAGTAGATTTGGTATTCAGGCAAACTATACTTACTCTGTTAAATCATATATTCACATTATAGTTATACAAATATTTTTTTCTATTTTCGGAGCTTTGCATTTTCATAAAAATAATATTTTTTGCAAACTAGAGCATAACTTTCTTAATTGATGTGCGATCGTTATGAATTTTGGAAATTATATTTTTCAGTGCTACCCTGACATAGTTTCATATCAATTAAAAAATTAGAACGTCACACAAGAGATACGTAATTTTTTCTTGCTAGATGACACAAAATATCGTCATTTTGCAGCGCAAAATGGTGAGTCGAGAAAACTTTATACTATTTCATACGACGTTTAGTTTGGGCTGTATACTTTTTTAAAAACCAAAGAAAATTGAATCAGCGCTGCGCGGCATGCCGCTATGATGCGATGCAGCGAATAAAGCGATCAGTGTGTCAGAGATAGTAAACACCACAGCCTTCTTCATACGTGCAACAAAGTAGACGCGCATTACAATATTGATATGATAATATAGGGAGTAGGTATAGGGGGATTTATGGGATTGGGAAATGATAGGAATAAAAATAATATATTTTTTACAAGGATATAACACAATATTATCATTATCAAATTAAAATATTTATTTTACTGTCACGGATTTCGCTCGATAAATGTTTACATTTAGACCACGGCGCGTCAGCTGGATTATTCGAGACAAATGACAACTGACAACGCGACAATACCGGAATTTTAGGTGGATGTACGCGACTTGTATAGAGGTGATCGAATTCAGCACCTCAGATTGCCTATAAAACACACGATTCACAATAACACACTGTGTCACTATAGTTCATATTTTGACCTGTTAAACACACGTGACTAATTATTAATACATGATCAAGAGAGAGACAGAAAAAAAGGCACGTCTATTATTGAGCACCAGCTTTACAAAAACTTTGATTAATCATTTTGACAATACGTTTTTCGATAAAGATACGACATACGTTTCCTAAAAAAATTAGCCACCTGCTATGACCTGCGTCTAATATGTAAAAATATGAACATAGCAAAGTTAATCAATGTTCATTTTACAGATCGATGTTCCTGCAATCCAAATTATGGAAGAATCTAAATTGCAAGAGTTTATTCCTCGGTACGGAGATAGACTAGCATTAAGAAATTTCTGTAAACAATATTTGGCTCCAAAAAAATGAGCCTTATTGAAAAGTTACGAGAAAAGGTGATGCAAAAAAATTCGAAAATTGCTGGAAAGCATCTGCGTCTCAGTCAGCAGAAAGGACTTCAAGAAAAAAAACTAGAAAAATTGAAATTGGATGGATGTGCTTAAACCAAAAAGATGAAATTTCCCAAGTGAGATTTGTTAATGGAGGAGGAACACGACAATGTGATATGTATAAAAATGCCACTGGATTTGATATTATAGAAAAGGGCAAAAAATTTTTTTTTCCAAACGGGATATCTAAGAAAGGTCCATTAGATAATTTTACGGTACAGCTTCTAGATTTTAAATGCAACCCAGTTGAATTTAATTTCACGGTTGAAGATTATTTCGAAAAAACAGGAGTTAGCCGATTAAAGTTTTATTTGTTTACAAAGCCCGTTAAAGATAAAGATCCGCCCTATCCTGATGATGGTATATTGTCTATCATTGTGAGAGGAAGAGAGAGACGAAGAATAGCTTCACAGGCTATTCCACGAAGAAGAGGAGATACGGAAACATCCACATTGCCAACAAGTACTTCTAATGAACCATCCGTAAAAATTTCCGGAAATAATTTAGGCACTAGTGGTATTACTAGTGAAAAATTTTTTGATTTTTATTTACTTTGCTTTTAGGCAATTTTGCACGTGGCATTAATTTAAAACCACTCGCCTGGCAGCTCGGGGTCTTATGAAATTAATGCCACTTGCCAAATTTCCAAGCAAAAAGCTTTCGTATAAAATTCAAAAATTTTATCGGTAAAATTTTACCACTAGTGGTAGAAATCTATTATACAGGGTGATTTATGTAGCCCGTTACTTAGAAGTTTTCCAGCTTGCAGGTGGATTATAAACTTCAAATTTGGTGTGTAGCCATAATCAATCATTTCGGCTTCATCTTAAATATTTTCAGATCTTCAACTATACAGGGTGTACCAAAGTAAACACTAATGCCGGGTTTATCCAACAAATAAAATAAAATAAAATAAGAAATATGACTTTCTTATGGATTTTTTTTTTTTTTTTGGTAGAACTAACTAATATAAAATAATACCTACCTCTTAACTCTTATTTCTTATTTTAATTTATTTTTTATTTTATTTTATTTGTTGGATAAACCCGGCATTACTTTTCTATTTTAAATAGCAACCTAATTTTTTTTCAACATAGTTCGATTGGCCTTGCAATTCGTAGTTTAAACAACCCAAGTTTTTTGAAAAAAATTGCCGTTGCAGTTGTTTACGCTAAACAGGATATCTCGAAAACCGTTCTAAATTAATAAACCAAATTTAGAAGATAATTAGTTGAGAGTTCAGGCTAACTTCTGATATTCCATTTAGTGCGCCCAATTTATACATGGGTGCAGGCGACCTCCAATCATCGGAATCGATAATGGTCAAGGAGTCAACTATTTCAAATAGCAGCTACTATGTTTTTCGGCACCATTCGAAAGAAAATTGAATTTTACAGGACATTACTCAGGCGTTCCCTATACCTAACTTGATTCGTTATCGAGATTATGGTAAAATTCGAGAAATACCGTTGGGATCAGATTCCTTGGGTGTGTACTATGTCATGGAAACAGACGAAAATCGTACCATTGAAATAACCAGAACCAAATGAAAAATAAGCAAGAGCAACAGCAGCAAAAAGAAAATATCAATAAACAACAAGACCAACAGCAAAAAGTTTTATTATTATTGATATAAACTAAAATAGCGACAACAAAATATTATAAGAATACAAAAACCATTCAGTTCTAAATTAAATGTTCAATGTGACTACCATTTTGATTCAATCATTCTTCTATTTTCAACAGATTGCGTAGCAGGTCTAATTTCATTGGAATCGATACTGTCGAAAGCCTCTATAATTCTATGTGTCTAATCGTCTAGGTTTTGAACTGCTGAAGAGTAAACCAAATCTTATATCCGACCTCATACATAAAAATCTAATGGGGTAAGATCTAGATATCTCGCAGGCCACAGGAATGTTTCCATGACATAGTACACACCCAAGGAATCTGATCACAACGGTGTTTCTCGATTTTTATCAATATCTCGATAACGAATCGAGTTAGGTATGGGGAAAGCTTGAGTAACATAAAAAATGACCCTGTACAGGGTGTCCAGAATTGGATGGGAATTTAGATATTGGCATATATGAAACTATAAGAGCGGCATTGAATTGACAATTAAATTACCTACAATTTTTCTTATTCAACCTCTCTCGCATCTCTTATAGTTTCCTATATGTCGATACATTCCCTTCCAATTCTGGACACTGTATATTACTGCCATTCTTGGTCCGCGAGTCTTGCTAGACGCAGTTAAGCTGTATCCTATTCCATAACTGACGACATATTTATTTCTTTTCCAGGATCTAAATACAAACACCGGTTCAAATCAAAACGAAGGTTTGATATCAACAGTCCCAAATGATGATATATCGTATGAGCTTGATATGCCAGACTTACCAGATTTACTCTGGAATGACCATGTACAAGAACCAGAAACCGGGACAGAAAAATTAGTTCTCCATAGAGGAAATATATTTCGAGAGCTGATAGTTGCCGTGAAAAACCGAAATATACGATTCAGTACTGTACAAGTAGAAATGAAAATGAGGGAAATGGCTGTGTGCACATCAACGATGTAGAGAAGAAAAAGACAAGGGAGACCCCAGTGTGTATTCTGTGCATAAATTTTATTGAATAGCAGAGCGCTTTCGGCCGTAGGCCATCTTCAGTGCTTCCTGAAAGTAATCAAATAACCTGAATGAGATTTTGAAGGTTGTAACTAGTTGAGTTGATTAGCTAATCGGTTATTACTTACTTTGTCAGGAGTACATCGAAGTCAGAAATTGTAAAAGAGCACCACATACTTAATGGAACGAACATACATTTAAATTATTGCAAAACATTAAACATTTAGGTGTAAAAACATTTAGGTGTAAAAAGGGGGCCCTAGGGCTGAACCATGGCAATTACATTAATTAGTTTGGTCTCAGACAACGTGTTCTTTTTCGTTTTGTAATTAATGCTGGATGACACAGGAAGAAAGTCAGCTGATTTTCAAAGACTAACCGCGCAAGTGTGAGCTACGAGGGCAACTCCAAAATTGCAGTTCAAAAAATAAGAATTTCGAAAATCGTTTAAGTTTTCGTTTTTTATAAATAGAGCCAGACTAAATTTTAAAAAACAATAACTCTATTGTAAGCAGGTCTAGATGGAACTTGATAATTTCTTGATTATCATCATTGAGTGATCAAACCTACTTAGTTGTTAAGCTTAGTTAGTGTTTAATTTAGAAGGCGTCTGTGCAAAGGGATATAACTCCTATTCAAATTCACCTGAGTATTTAGACAAGAGCAATTTACCTGTAGTTCTTTTTGTATTTCAATGTCCTCCACAAAGTCCAGTCTATTGAAGTTCTTTGAAGAAACGTTATGGATAATCTTGGAATTTGATTTAGGGCTAAATTCATGTTTTGTGGATTTTATGTGGTCCCCAAAAGCCGAATTAGGTCTGGTTAAATGTTCGTGAATCCGTGTTTGAAGAGGTCTACAAGTTCTCCCTATATATGAACTGTTGCAAGTGTTACAGTTTAACTTATAAATTCCGCTTATATTACCAACAACCTGACGGCCTCGCTATGGGCAGCTGTTTATCACCTTTTCTTGCTGATGTATTCATGGATTTTCTGGAAAATGAACATATCATATCAAATAACAATTCGGAAATTTTACACTGGTTCAGATATGTGGACGATTGTCTTTGTTTCCTGGCTGGTGATAATCAAGTGGCTGAGACCCTACTTAACAAGTTGAACACCATTCACCCTAACATTGCTTTCACCCTAGAGATAGAAAATAACAAAAAAATCAATTTCTTAGACGTTACCATAGAAAAGGAACAGAACAATCTTCATTTTCAAATTGACAGGAAGCCAACACAAACGGACCACACAATCCCACAATCTTCTAATCATCCTCAACAACACAAATTAGCAGCCTTCCACTGTTACATAAATAGGCTACTTAATATTCCAATGTCTAAAGAGAACTACAACAAAGAACTTAGAATCTTGAAACAAATAGCATACAACAACCAATACGACCCGGACATGATAGATACCTTGATTAACAAGACAAAACACAATAGACTGAGGAAAGAAATCTACCCTCTTCCAAAGGAGACTTTGAGATATGTTTCAATACCTTTTGTTGATCAAAATTTCAGTTCGAAAGTAGCAAATTCCATTCGCCATTCTATCCAGAAAGTTAATATTTCTTATAAAACAAAAAACAGTCTTCACACACACTTGGTTAACTCTAAAGATAGGATAGAAACCCTCTCCAAAAGCGGAATTTATAAGTTAAACTGTAACACTTGCAACAGTTCATATATAGGGAGAACTTGTAGACCTCTTCAAACACGGATTCACGAACATTTAACCAGACCTAATTCGGCTTTTGGGGACCACATAAAATCCACAAAACATGAATTTAGCCCTAAATCAAATTCCAAGATTATCCATAACGTTTCTTCAAAGAACTTCAATAGACTGGACTTTGTGGAGGACATTGAAATACAAAAAGAACTACAGGTAAATTGCTCTTGTCTAAATACTCAGGTGAATTTGAATAGGAGTTATATCCCTTTGCACAGACGCACAGACTGGTATATTTGCTAAAAACCTGGCCAAAAATATTTTGTTGTTTATTTGAACTCTTTTTAAATAATAACAGTTTATTTTCACGTAATAAAGTAAGTTTATAAGTCAAAAGGTAATTATTTATTTATTTTATCAATAATAATAATAATAATAACAACAAAAGTTATTCCGTCCATTATGAAATTATTCTACTAAAAAAAAAACATAGAAACTCTGATATAACATAGAAATTAAAAATACAATTATTCGTATGAGATTACAGTCTATTCTGTGTCACTTTCATCACTGGAATCAAGATCTGGTTCTGGTTGTAAAAACTCCAGTGCTTCTTTTGTAAATGACTGTTTTTTTCTACTAGTTTTAGGCTTTATGCTACTTAAGTAGGGGTCTGAGGTCAACAAAAGCCGATTTAGAACATCTTCATTACATTTTTTTCTGGAAAATTTTCGCGAGAAGCTTTCCCGGTACTGGCGGAAATGCTTATTCCTGGCTTCCGCAGCTTCTTCCGACAACTGACCGATTGGTAATAAAGCATGTGCTATAACACTGGCTGAGTGTATTAAAATTTTATGTATGGTTGGTGACATAGGCTGCCAAGGATATAAATTTACATAGAGCTTCGCCGTATCCATAGTGTACATAGAAAAATTTTCCACGTCTATTTTGAAACCAGAAGATAACACTTCTAATATTATTTTAAATCTGTTTATCAGTTCGAAGTCTATTCCTGTGATAGCAGCTGCTTCTTCTACATTGTTGAAAAATCTACGTGACGTGTTTCCGTCATTGGTATTGCCATATCCAGCTTTCGGGATGTCCACCAGCAATCCCATTTTCTGGCGGAATTCTTTTTGCATGTTTTGTTTTGCAGTTTGA